GACACACAGACAGACTCAGACATGCTGACTGACAGACATGCTGACTGACACACTGACTGTCAGACACACTGATAGACAGACACGCTGACACACTCAGACACACTAATAGACACGCTGACTGACCGAGACACAGACAGACTCAGACATGCTGACTGACACACTGGCTGTCAGACACACTGATAGATAGACACACTGACACACTCAGACACACTGACTGACAGACACGCTGACACGCCTCCCTGGCCGTGCTGAGCTCCTGCACACTGCTGCCCAGGCCCGGCCGCGCCGGAGCAGGGGGTGTGTCCGCTCAGGAACACCTGACACACCGCCTGCTCTCCTGCTCTGCAGCTCTCAGTTTGACACCCGGAGAATGAACGGGGTGACCGCTCGCTCGGAGAGAGCAATTTACTGATTCTGATCTCTGTCGCGATCGCGAGCGGGGATTGCTGTGCCTGACTTCGCTCCCGCCCTGTCCCACACCGGACCCGCCCGACAGGCCTCTGGTGCCGGGCGGGTTCGCGAAGAGCCCCGGTAATCAAACTGACTCATTTTCGCAGCCCGCCTGAACAAAAGGCGTCTCCTCTGGCTGGCTGTCGGACGGGCTTCCCTCTCGCAGCTTCAGGGGAAAAAACACGAGACAGACAGAGCTGACAGCTTCGCGGTCGCGCGGGACCGTGGGTTTCACTGTTCCACGGTCACGGCAGCGGCTGCAGCAATAATAATAATGATGATGATGATCATGACAGAACCCGCTCCTCGCTCCTGCAGCACTAAGGCCGACGGCTCGTCTCCGTGGGTCACGCCGTTGCTGTGCAATCTTTATAGACTTCACGCACGGTGACACGGCGGGCCGCGCGAGTGGACAGCAGGATAGGGAGCCGTGTACCCGAACCACCTGCCCTGGTATCCGAACAGTCACCCGAACAGGACCGCTTACCGGATTAGACGCCGCTCCTGACTGCGTATCGCGACCGCGAGATGTTCTGTCGCGACCAGGCGAGTCCTCGGCGACGGCTACTACTCCAGCGACAGGCCGAGCTGACCGGCGCTCTGGGTCGGTACCGCTGCTCCGGCTCGGCTATGGCTGTCCGGACTCTCTCTCCGCCTCCTTCTCCTTCCTCTCTTCCCTCTCTCTCCCAGCTGAAAACTGCTTATTTTTCAGCAGCCGGCTCCTGATTCGGGAGCGCCAGTGAGTGTGAGAGTGTGAGTGTGTGTGTGTGAGAGTGTGAGTGTGTGTGTGACAGTGTGTGTGTGAGAGTGTGTGTGGGGCGGCTCGGCGCGAGAGCAGGAATCTCTTCGCTGCACAGCGCTGTGGCTGCAGGCGGACCGCAGCCCAAATAATAATACTGATACTAATAATAATAATAAGAAAAAATCATCATCATGATCATCGGGAGGAGGGGCATGGCGGTGCTGCTGGCGGGATGCTCTCACTCTGATTGGATTTCGAAGGCGGATTTTTGACTCCTCTAATCCCTTGATCTCCGTTACTCGGTCTCCAGCCTCTTATCCGACACAAACACGTCTTTCCGGGGCTTTTGCTCTCAGTTTGCTTTCCTCACTCTCGCCGCTCTCCCCCGGGCCGGCCCGGTTCGGTTCTGAAGGAGCACGCAGTCGGGTCGCACTGCTGCCCCAGGGCAGTCCGGATGCGGGCCATTAAGCGAGCGACACTGTCTGTGGGCTCGCCTGTCCGCCAGACACTGACGGGTCTGCTGGCGGGTCCGGTTCTGGCGGCGAGATGGGCCCGAACGATCCAGCGGACAGCGGTCCTGTTATTATAGACAGAGGAATCTGCACACCCGGGGTCACCGGACACCCACATTCCCCACGGGAGCCCCCAGTCTGGGGGAACAGGACCACGTGGATCATGTGGAGATCCGAGAGATTTCCATCTGTGTGTGTACTGTACACATGTCCACGCAGTCACTTTGTCCTGGACAGAGTCCTGAGCAGTGTCTCCGGATCCAGACTGGTGCACTGTCTGTGTGGAGCTCGCATGTTCTCCCTTGTCCTGAAGGATCTTCCCCAGGTGCACCAGTTTCTCCACTCCTACCTCACACTGACGAGCTGGTCGTGTTCATTGATGTTAGGTGTGTGTGTGTGTGTGTGTGTGCCCTGTGACAGTGTCCCATCCTGGGATCAGCCCCGTGTGCAGGACAGGCAGGGAGCTACCACAGCCTGTGTCAGGATCATAGGCTGACCCCCAAAATAAAGACAGGGTCCAGGTCAGCAGGTCCCAGCTGTACCTTAGCTCCAGGTCCTCCTTGCAAGCTCACCCATGAGTCTTCTCTCATTCCAGCTCAGCACCCAGTTACTTAATTAAGCCCTTAATTGGACTAATGAGGTGGTTTGTCAGGCCTAATTGCTTTCAGCTTCTCGCACGCTACACCTTGAGTATTAAGCTCATTACCTCCAGCAGGAGCCAGGAGCTCTGTATTAAAAGGGAGTGTGATGAAATGAGCAAGGGCTCAGCTGTTATCTGAACAACTGGAACTGCAGGACAGCACGTGCCTAACACACTCCCGACCCCAGACACTCCCAGCCCCAGACACACACCCAGCTCCACACACACCTGGCTCCAGACACTCCCACCTTGACACACTCCCACCCCCAGACACTCCCAGCCCCACACACACTCTCAGCTTGACACACTCCCAGCTCAACACAGTCACTCCCACTGCCATCCACCCACAGACACACCTCCACCCAAACTCCCACACCGCCACACAGCGAGACGCCCCAGTCAGGGGTTCAGGGCTTTAATGAAGAGCTCAGGTGCTGAAACCTCACCACCAACCTCAGAAGACACAGCACAATGCCCCACAGGAGACCGCAGGAGCCTCAGGGGTCCTCAGGTGACACTATTACCTGGACGACAGGAAATAGTCAGGGTTGGGTTTCTGGATTCTATCCCGGCTGAGTGGACACCCCACCCTGCAGCCCTGCACACTCTGAGGGAGCTGTGCGCTAGTTTTCATCAGCCCTGACCCAGACAGACTCGCAAAAAGCCTGCAGAACTGCTGGCTTTGGAAAATGAGGAACACACCGCTGTTCAAGTAAGAGCCATTTTATTTTTCTTGTCTTGTAAACTGATGGTAAATCAGGGTGTCTCAGTACACAAGACTGGGTGCAAGTGGGGTCTGTGGTCATGGGCTGTCCCCTCTGTCACCGAGCTGCAGTGTCTCCTCCGCGCAGGCAGGGGGCGTGACTGCCTCACGGCCGGGGGTCCTCCTGCCCAGTGTGGTGCTCTGGAGGTGTGTACTTGCCCTCCTTCATCAGCTTCTCCTTCTGTTTGCGGATCTCGTACAGACGCTTGTACTGCAGAAGACAGGACAGGCAGGCAGGACGGTTATCATTACATCAACTGTGCATATCCTGGGCTGCCATGCCTGTGAAAGCATGGCTTTACAGTGCATTGTATAATAATAATAATAATAATAATTGCTTATATAGCGCTTTTCTGGACACTCCACTCAAAGCGCTTTACAGGTAATGGGAACTCCCCTCAACCACCACCAATGTGCAGCCCCACCTGGGTGATGCGACAGCAGCCATAGTGCGCCAGAACGCTCACCACACACCAGCTCTCAGTGGGGAGGAGAGCAGAGTGATGAAGCCAATTCAGAGAGGGGGATTATTAGGAGGCCATGATTGGTAAGGGCCAATGGGAAATGTGGCCAGGACACCGGGGTTACACCCCTACTCTTTTCAAGAAACACCCTGGGATTTTTAATGACCACAGAGAGTCAGGACCTCGGTTTTACATCCCATCCGAAGGACGGCGCCTGTTTACAGTATAGTTTCCCCGTCACTATACTGGGGCATTAGGACCCACATGGACCGCAGGGTGAGCGCCCCCTGCTGGCCCCACTAACACCTCTTCCAGCAGCAACCTTAGTTTTTCCCAGGAGGTCTCCCATCCAGGTACTGACCAGGCTCACACCTGCTGAGCTTCAGAGGGCTGCCAGTTGTGAGTTGCAGGGTGATATGGCTGCTGGCTGCAATATGTATAACATTGTGTATATATGTATAACATATACATAAAATGTATAACATTTTCTTTACAATGCGATGCAATAGGGTGGCCACCTGTCTGTGTGTTTCTAAGAAATCTGGTTATCGGCTTCCGTATCTGAGAAGCTGCTGTGAAGACACCCTGCTATCCATTTTTGTCTGATGACTAATCTGCACTGCAACTCAATGGTACTGTATCCAGCTCCAGATATCTGAGAATTCCATCTGGAATCGGTCTTGGCTCTGTTATTGTGATACTGGTTTGTTATTGTCACAGTCTAGTGACTGCACAGGATTTTACAGCCTTATACAGCACTGGACATGTCCCAGCCATATGACAATGAGCAGCTGCAGTGAAACTGTACAACAGTGTGGGCAGGCACTGCAGTACTGTCCTGCAGCTCCCTGACACCCAGAACCAGGCTCTTCCGTTACTGAGGGTCATTCTCAAGCCTGTTGAATTATCTTTAAAATGAATGCTGCAGGGACGATGCACTGCAGGCTTAAGCATTCAAACCACAGGATGAAACGTGTGTAACAGCATTCCACCAGGTCGGGTCTAGCTCTACAGCAGATTGTCTCTCTGTTGAGCAGGCCTGTGGGGTGTAACACAGCCGGCAGAGACACGCGGAGCCGAGCTGCTCTGTCACCCAGCTCTTCCTGGATAAGTCCACACCTGCCGATCCCCGACGTCTCCAGCACACATTCAGACCCGAGTAGCTGACGACCTATGAGCTGGATGCTTTGGCGTGGGGCTGGAGGGGCAGGTCAGCCAGGGGAACGAGCCTGGTTCTGTGGCCGGGTCGGGCCCGAGTGTGTCCAGCCGGCGCACTCACGGTCTTGTCGCGGTGCATGCACTCCCGGAAGTCCTCCAGCTCCAGCTTGCACTCCCGGCGGGCACGCGTCTGCCCGATGCCGTGGGCACACTCGATCCACTCCTTCTCGAAGGCATGGCACCGCGCCGCCCGGCGGTACGGCTGCTCCCCGCTCTGGGCCAGCAGCCACCTGTCCACGTTCACACCCAGCTTCTCCTGCAGGTCCACAAAGGGCATGGCTCTGGGGCAGGGAGAAAAGAGAGGGGCAGAAGGGAAAGAGAGAGAGGGGCAGGAGGGAAAGAGAGAGAGGGGCAGGAGGGAAAGAGAGAGAGGGACAGGGGGAGAGGAGAGGGGCAGGGGGGAGACGTGAAGGTGGGAGAGAGAGGGAAGGGGAACAGGAACAGAAGGAGGCACAGGCGTTACAGACCACTCGACTGCTCACTCACACCGAGACCGAGCCTCTGTTACTGGCGAAGCCTGGACACCGGCTGTCCCTGCTGCTGCCCGTGGCCCAGGAGTCCGCACACACAGTCACGCACGTCGCGTCGAGAACAGCATCAGAGTCATTTCTCTCACTGCTGTGGGGCGTCTGTTTGCTTTAGATCTGTGTATGTGCCCGAACTAGACTGGTTTAATAACTGAACTGCTGCGGCCGGTAGCTGTCAGTGTCCAATAACAGACCCGCTCGCCTGTCGAATGACCATCACACAGTTGAATACCTGAGCCCCAGGCTACACGCCTTTACAGGCCAGCGTGGACTTCACACACAGTGGGGTAAAGATTTTCGTCCCAGCCGCTCTCACTCACCTGAACCTCGGGGAGTCTTTAACCTTCCGCGAGTCTCCGTCGCTTTACGGTAACGCGGACGAATGCCGTAAAGCACTCTTGTTTTCACTGCGCCCATGTTTGCGACACTGCGGTCCTGTTGTATTTTGTCTTTCACAGCGCCCCCTTGTGGCCCAGTGTAGACTCAACCCAGGAAACCCCGAGAGAAGCGGCGCTACGCTGAGGGTCGGAACTGCTATAAACCAGTGACTTTCCTGTCGGTGGAGAATGTTAATTAGAATAATGAATTTACCTTTCTCAAACTCTAGGAGGACTGCAGTGTCTAAATGTTTTGATTCCTAATGATTAATGATTAATTCTCAGTTACTATCGTACGGTACATACTGTATATGAAATTTGTATTTGACCAATTGTGTTATATGTATCCAAAGCTTGGTTACGATTATTGTGTTAATGAAGTACACCATGGTGAACCTCACAGAGATACTTCCTCCAGCTGCCTGGGACTTTGGGTTTAGAGGGTGTGATGAACCCGGGACACCGAGGTTCTGGTTCTGTTCTGCTGTGGCTGGAGGTGGTGTCGATCCCAACTGTGTGCTCTAGACTGGCTCAGAGAGTGAGGGGGAGCAGAGCCCTGCCGCTCCAGTCCAGTCCAGTTGGGTCAGCACCAGCGCCTCTCTGCGGGCACAGACGGCTCTGAGGGCTGTGTGGTCCTCCAGTCACTCCTGTACGTGTGCTGGGAGGACAGAGCACACGGAACTAAACCTTAGACCTGTTGTAAGCACTTTCGAACACAAGAACTGATCTCTCTTCAGGAAATGTTACTCCTTCTATCAGGAGAGACAGGTTAAAATGTCTCCTGCCTTATATCTTATTTTAATTTAATATTTTCATCTTAATAGCAAGCAGCAATATCGCCCTGCAGCTCTCAACTGGCAGACCCCTGAAGCTCAGCGGGGTTGAGCCTGGTCAGGACCTGGAAGGGAGACTCCTGGGAAGCTATGGTTTCTGCTGGAAGTGGTGTCAGCGGGGGTGCCCACCCTGTGGTCTGTGTGGGTCCTACTGGCGGGGACACTGTATTAGATAGACACTTTATTGATCCTGTGAGGGAAATTGCAGAAGAATATCGTAGTGGGCGCCATCTTCCAGATTAGACGTTAAACCGAGGTCCTGACTCTCAGTGGTCATTAAAGATCCCAGGGCATTTCTCGAGAAGAGTAGGGAGTTATCCCGGTGTCTGGGCCAAATTCCCCCCCTCAGCCTTTACCGTGGCCTCCAAACTGTCCCCGTGTGTGATCGGCTTGCACTGGCCCTGCGATGGACTGGTGTCCTGTCCAGGGTGTACCCTGCCCTGCGATGGACTGGCGTCCTGTCCAGGGTGTACCCTGCCCTGTGCTCGCTGCTTGCCGGGGGGGCGACAGGGTTTCCACACTGGGACCTTCAATCCATGTGGATTGATCAGAATAATCTGTTTTCTAAATTCTAAATCTTCTTAATAGTGCTTGTTGCAATCAGAATTCTGACTGTTTCACCAGTTTTATCATAAATATCCCTTTAACGTTGTCACGTCCCACACTCTCAAACCCTACTACATTCCCAAACCCACTGTTTCACGATCTCATTCTTAACTGAACCCATCACAGGCACCAGATTCCACAGATTCTCACTCCTGAACCAATTATCCAACCACGTTCCTCTCCCTTCAGTATTTAATGCTCCCTCACACACCCTACCCTGCTCCCTACTGGGAAGCCTCTTGTTGTTTTCTAGTGCGTGGTCTTTCCTTGTTGATTTTCCTGGTTTTTGTACTTGACTTTTTTCCTTTCTGATCTTGTCTTTGGATTACGATTTTGGATTGTTTGCCTCTGCTTCCTGCAGAGTTCTTGGCTATGCACAGGATTCTCGGAGATCTACTGGACTTCTGACAAACGTAAGACCAAACAAATGATATCTATGGGAATTTGTTTCAGATATTCCTTGTTTCTTGAGGTTAATGCAGTGGATTGTTTGTCCTGAGCATAACCGTGTGATTTCTTCAAGTAACATCAACAGAATGGTAAAACCTGTGCAAGTCTTACTTGAAACAGAGGGTCACTGCTTCTGTAGCCTTTGTGGCGCCACAGAGAATCCAAATGCCCCATTCAAGGTGGGGAGTGCATGCAGACTTACTTAGGAAAGAACTGAGAACACACCCAAACAGAAAATAGTATGACTTGCACTGCTGTACAGTCTACAGTGTTAACAGACCACAACACCGACTTCAGACAAGAGCCACAACCAGTTTTTATTTAGTACCAGGGTGGACAATAACAACATTACATTTCAAATCCAGAGGGAAAAAACAAACGATCTTGTGCCTGACTGGTAGGGACAAACGAATCTCCTAGGTAAGCTAACAAGCCCCTTTCTCTCTTTCCCCTCAGCCACGTTTCCCAAAACCCCCTGCTAACCCATGGCTTCACCTGCCCTTAACAGGAAGTCTGAGCATCCAGCCTGCAGCACACAGCTTCACTGTGCTTGACCACAGCCTCACCAGGCCTGAGCCATGACTGTGCTGTGCTGGACCTCACCTCCCTCTGCTTCTAGCTCAGCTTGCTGTCCTGCTGCAGCTGCCAAACCTAGGGGAGCCCACCCTCAGACAGACAGAAGAATGCAAATGAATGACAAGTGTGTAACGTCTCTTTCAGCCCCTGTTGAAGACACTGGAGA